AGTAGAGTGGACATAATTGAAGGCAGCAGTGATCTCATATAGAAATATTTTTTCTATCAACAATATTTTTAATACGGTTAAGGAAAGACTGGGCTTTTTATTGTCTTTTAGCAGACAAAAGATCTTATGTTAAGATCCTCATCTTTGCTTCTCTACAACAAACAACTGTCTGTTCATGGAGACTTGAGCTCAACAGACAATTTGAAGAGAACAAAAAGAATGTTCAGGATGTGGTTGCTACATTCATGTCGTTTTAAAAAGCATGACAATATCAAGTAATCCAAAGTATTCAGTTTACATTACTCACTTTAAGTAATTTAATAGATTACGTTACAAACTACATTTTGGGGTATGTAATATGTAATCTGTAATCTGTAGGGGAATACATTTTAAAAGTAACCTTCCCAACACTGCCTAAGAACAATGTTTATACTCATGAATCCCAAAACTTGTATGGAAACTAGATACTCATTTGAGCAAGTATCGATACTGAAAAACATGACACCACACGACACCTGTCCAGAAAAAAACACACATTTTGACAACAGTAATTTGAGAAAGACATGTGGGTCAGAAAATGTATCCTATCTCTGCAATTTCAGATGGCTTTGATTGACAGGTGGATTAACCATCAGAGAAACACATGGTCCGTTCACGTCAAAATGAATACACTGGCAAAAAAGGGAAAAAAAATAATGCAGAGAACAGAAAAACAGTGAGGATTTCTGCAGAATCTTCAAACGAAGCTCCAAACTCTTACAGGAATTCCCATATTTCCACATTTAATCAGATAATCATACTTCTTCAATACCAAAATACCCACATGGTAGTGAAATCAATTGTCTTTGATTGATACAATTATATTATTGTATTAAAATGCTTTTCTGATCATTGTGGTACTTAATATGGTATCTAGCATTTCTTGAAATCAAAATCGTTATCAAGACATTTCAACTTTCTTTCTTTTTTCTTTTGTATAGGATTATTTGCCACTATAAGTGTCCTGTGAGTTGTTAATAGTTTTGGGGAGCTCTGGCCCTGAGGTGTGGGGGGTTGGTGTGCGTGTGTGTGAGAGTCTGTATGATTTAGAGACATGACCTCACTGCGCCTGTGTGTGAATGAGCCTTTAACAACAGCAACACACAATAAGTGCCGCAATTACAGCTATGACCTACTTTACACTTAACTATACATTAAAAGACTCATCACAACTTCATGGTTCACGTTCAGACACTGGAATATTGAGAGAAAATTATTCTGTATGATTCTCTGCTATTTTGAAAAGAAATCTCCAAAATCCACAAATGTTTTTTTTTCCCTGATTGTTTCTATCAGTAACCGGGTCCATTTAACAGGGAGCAAAGAGCGCGATCACATTACGTCAATTCTTGCGTTGTTGCACTGGCTTCCTGTTAGTTTTAGAATTGATTTTAAGATTTTATTAATTGTTTTTAAAGCTTTGAATGGACTGGCCCCACAATACATCTCGGACCTCATCCAAATTTACACCCCCACACGCCCTCTGAGGTCTGAGGGCCAGCTCCAGCTCGTGGTCCCCAAAAACAAGACTTAAAACCAGGGGGGACAGGGCCTTCTCTGTGGCCGGCCCCAAACTCTGGAACGCTCTGCCTCCCCAGTGGAGTGTCTCTCTGTTCTCTGGCTTTTAACACTGCGTGAGTTGTGTGGTCTTCTGTGTCTTTTATTTTATTTATTTATTTATTTATTGTTTTTTATTGTTTTTATCTGTTACATTTTTTTTGTAATGTTTTTATGTATTGATTTTATTACTTTTGTTAATTGGTTTTATTATTATTATTTCATTTATTTAACGTATTTGCTATTAGACACTCTGGATTATAAGGTGCACTGTCATTAAATGGTCTATTTTCAAACTTTTTTCACAAATAAACCACACCGAACTTTAAACGAAACACAACAGTGTGATGGGTGAGTGGGACTTTGTTTGGTGCGTTCACAGTGACTCTGGGCTTTGTTCAGTTGTGGCGTGTAGGGAGGGTGCTGTCTGGGACCGCTGGATTGTCGGCGTGTTCGCAGTGACTCAGTTGTTCAGTTGTGTCTAGAAGTGGCAAATTGGACTCGCTTTTTCAGTTCTTTCCTCGTCCGCGTGGAGTGTTGAGTGCAGCTGGGGGTGCGTGGTGCGTTTCGCTGCGCGGTCACTGTCTGCTCCGTGTGTGTTTGTGTGTTCTGCGGGTATTGTGGCTTTGTAGTTTACTGAAGTTGTGCTGGGACACCTGAGTGGATTCATGTATGGGGTGCTCTGGATTTTGGGGCGCGGTCATTTTCTGATGCGGTTAGAGAATTAAGAGCGTGTCTAATAGCCCGGAAAATACGGTATTCTATTAGTCTCCTTATTAAACATAATTCTACAGATTTTTTTCTTTTTAAAGTAAAGTGGTTTGCATTGCTATGTGAAGCACTTTTTGTTTGTAGAATGTACTATACAAATATAGTTGGATTGAATCAGTTTGGATTCTCCCGCGGCATTTATCCAACCACACCACAACACAGGAGGGCATCTGATGCACTACAACATCTGCAGAGACACATCTGAGCTGCCCCCAGCTAAGTCTAACACTACAGGGATACAGGAAGATGGGAGGGCATCTGACACACATGGATATATAAGAATGGGAGGACATCTGGCTCACAGGGATATAGTCTGTTTAACATTACATGACACTGTTTTCATTTAAACGCTGCAATAAAGTTGAACAATTGGATTCCTGAACACCTCTGTTGAAAAAACTCTAAAACAAAACCTTGGGTTTCCTTTGGGCTGAAGGAAGGACATCCTCTGGTGCGTCCTGGAAATGTGCTTCAACCCACAGTTTGAACAAAGCTGCAACAACTAAAGCTATGGCAACACAAAAAAGATGAGGCCTATTTAATTCAAAAACTGCTTTGGCCACACTCATAATGCAATCAAATTCAAGTATATTTAAAGCATTATGTTCCTTTTTATTGTTCTGAATATGCGACATTTGCTAAAAACAACGTATAAAGATTTTTTATATGTCACTTTTGTTTTTGACGCTCTGAACATAGACTGTATATATAAATGGATAAAGCTAACGCACTAGTCATGGCGTTCCAAATAGGAAGTTCTCAAGCGACTCTTCGGGCTCCTTCTGACTCTGGCTCCCATTGACTTGTACACTTGAATATTGGGGCCCCTCTCTCTGTACCTGCTGCTGTGAGCCTCAGCATTTTGATCTTAAAATGTTCATGTTAACCTGCTCTACACGATCCTTTTTTTTTTCTCGCTATTTTGTCCATTAAAACATCCTAATCATAATATACTGCCTGACTCCAAATTCTCTCCTGTAACCGCTGGCATCATGAGCTTCATTTGAATGGCGCTGAACTCTACAGGTGACATCGCACTCACTTAGTCCACTTCTTTATGCAGTCTCTGAATCAAAAGTCACCCCCCCTTCAGAGCACTATCACATTACAGCCGGTGTGCATCCCATCACATCAGGTTTGTCAAGCTGTAGTGCATTGTTTTGTATCATGTAGGCTTGTGGGCGGAACCTTGGACAGAATCTTACAGCTAACTATAAAAAAATTGGGGATTTTGGTTTGGATAGGGCCTGAGATAGATTACTCAAACATGCATGTATGCGTGTTTTTGGTCATGGAACAACATTATAACATGTTAGAAAGCTCAAAAAGGCTAAATTTTGCATAGTACTCCCTCTTTAACTTAAGTTTATGCACGTATATTTGCATAATACATCATCTCATGGGCTGTGAGGAGTTTGCATGCTTCTCTGTCTAGGTGTGCTTTAGGGCTGAAGGATTCATGAAAATATCAAGATTTTCTGAAAGGCTTTGTGATTACATTTGCGATTCATGTTTTAATAATAGGATTCACATTTTAAACGCGCCCAGAAGAGTTGACAAAAAGACTATACAAGAATCACCTTTCAGAACATTTGTGCAGATCTAAACTACAGGGTTAGCAGTTTTTATGCAGAATAACACAGGACATTTGGTGCAATTGTGGAATTATGGTATTTTCTGTTCATTCAAATTGTATATATATATTTTTTTTTATTCTACATGCACAATAGGCCAAATCTTCCACCAGCTAAGATAGTCCTGACCAAGACTAACTCAAGATCTGGAGATGGGTCGCACTGCTCCTGACAGGATGGGTCACATGCAGGTTTAACTAAAGACACTAAAGTTTGAGCTAAATGCCGTTTAACCCACAGCCGCTGAAGGATGGGTCATATACAAGTTTAACCCAGAGATGCTGAAAAAATAGGTCAAATTCAGTTCAGAGATATTGTGGGAACAAATAGTGTAGTAGAAATCTGTTTAGTTTGACATTAAGCCTACTGTATGTACTAATATTTTAATCTTTGAGCTTTAAATACATCCTGTCTGTTGTTGGAGCATTATCTGTTACTCCTCACCTCCACATACTTTCAGAAGGTGTGGAACAATAGGGAGATTTATTACAGCCCCAGCACAAGCCAACATACCATATAGTATACTAACTAATGTATTCATTTATTCTGTCGGTGTATTCTATTAAAGTCGCACTATGTGATGTCTGACACCTGCTTCCTGTCATCGCTTGGCCCTCCGCGGTGTATTAAGGGGCCCGTATTACGCAATTTTCTGATCTATCTTATAATGTTATGTCATACCCGGAGTTTTGTTATGTTTCATTCACACGTTTCACATACAAATCCTGAAAGTCTTCTCTCAGACTAAGGAAGTGCTCCACTGTGTTTTAAACTCCATGCACCTTCAGTCATTTGGATAATACTTGATCGGATTTCTAAATAGGCGAATTATTTCTTTTACGCACGAAATCCAGCGCTACGTGACATGAACCATATGACAAAACATATTCAAGCTATACGTAGGCTACTTGGACGTGTGATACCATTTCCATACCTATTTACGGTTGGAATGCATTTTTTCAGTTATACATTAAAAACAAGCGTAAAACGTGAACTCACCTATTCCCCGTGCGTCAGCCTCAGAGATGCACGCACACCCGTTCCTCTATTTGCTTTACGTACTCTTCTCTTCCAGTCTTTTCTTATTAAAACGCCCTGGCAGGTCACCCGCGTTGAATCTCGTGGAAAAATGACGTTCTTTCGCCTCTGTTTCCACTGACTGAAGCGTCTGCTGCGTCCGTGCGTAAAAACCAAAAGGGATCGTAGACCACGCCTCTCTCTGTCTCTCCCTCTGCTCCGTCCTTCGAAAGTTGTTAAGTCTGAGGGAAAAACTTGGAAAAGACATGAACTTGGGATGTAACCGAATACTTTAAACGCACCGTAGAAGTCCAAAAGAAACAACAGATGTGCGCCCAGACATATGCGTTTGGATATTTGAACAGGATTGCCTACAAATATAGATGGGTAGAGTAGCCAAAAATTGTATTCAAGTAAGTAACGTTACTAAGTAATTATTACTCAAGTAGAAATGAAAATGTGTGGTTCAAGAAATTACTCAAGTAAGAAAAAACTACAAGCCTACTCAAGTCAGAGTAATTTACAGCGTAACTGTCGGGACGTAACATGTGAAACCTTAAATATGCTACTACTTAATACACAATTTGGTATTTTCAAAGGACAGACACCAAAATGAGTCAAGCTAAGGCCCATCTGAAGCAGCTCTGCAAGAAGCACAATGTTCAAATCATTTCACATCGTGACCTAACGCTTTTGTCACTTTCGACTTATTTACAGTGGAAGACTTTTTACTTTTTACTCAAGTAAGTGTACTGTTACTTCAATAACTTTTGACTCAAGCAGGAGTAAAAGTATGCAGCTAGAAATGTAAGCTATTCTGACAAGTACAATTTCTTAAAAAGAAAAAGTTACTTGAATAAATAAACTAAGATCTACACCCACCTCTGAAAATAAATTAAGCACAGAAGGCAGAAAAGTTAAAGAAAAAAGCCTATTCTGCTAAAACTGTTGCCTTATTGTTTAAACGCGACACTGATTCTGCGCTTTGAGTACCATTCTAACTTAAAGGTTGTATGGAGGATTTTTTTTTTGTTTTTTTTTGTTTCAAGTTGTCAATGATAGCATTATAGAGGTGCAGTAGCCTTGTAATTATGATGACCAAAAAAAGAGAATAAAAATTCATCAACTCTGGACGTGGTGGGGCCAGCTAAACATTTGCCAATAGATAACGACACGGCCTCGTTATCTGTTAGCTGACAGGCTATCAATCAAACTCCCTACGTTTCTAGCGTAACTGACCTGCCTGCGCGCCGCCGGTACGTGGTTTACGTACGCCTGTCACGCAGTCCACAGACGCAAGACGCACAGACGCTGTTTACTCCACCAACGCAACAGTTCTTAGCGGCTTTTTTTGACCTATATCTTCCTCGCAGTTAGCACAAAGTTTGTTGCGATGGCGACAAGAATCCAGGAGCAGTTAGCCGCAAAAGAAAGTCCGTTTTTGAGGTCGCTGAAAGAAGAAGACAAGGGGAAAAGCAGCGAAGCCAAACTAAGGTGATTCTTGTAGATTCATTCCAGCGATGGCGCGACTGAAGCAGAACGCAGGGTCTAAAGACTGACGCATTGGTCGCCAAATTACTCCTGGACAGGTAACTTCTGCTTATTATGAAAACGTACTTTATTTCCAAGAGCTAGTCAAACGTTTTTCAGGACACGAAAGCGAATCCTATGTCTGAAAACGTAATTTTCAAGGCAAAGAAAGAGTCCGCTTGCTGCTGCGTGTTGTAGCTAGTTCATTCGCACTGAATCTCCGCGCAACCTTCTCTGCTCCCCTTTCCTACTCCTGTCCCCGCTGCCCGTTCCGCTCTTCCCCCTTCTCCTCACTTCTACGGGCACGGAATCTCCGCGCACCGCTCCCCTCTCCTCTCTCCTCTCTCCTCTCTCCCTGCTCCGCTCTTCTGCCTCCTCACTTCTCGTCCGCGAACGAAATGTCCGCACACCCGCTCCCCCCGCTCCTCACTTCTCCGCCTTGCCTAACCAACACTGTAGTTAGTTGTTTACAAGTCATGTGCAGCTCACCGGCTGTAAAACCTGTTTCTGGCGTAGTGAGGAGGCGGGAGAAGGCGTTTCTACGTAGGGAGCTGTAGGGGAGGGGGGGTGGTTTCACGCATGCGCAAACATTTGAAAAAGGACAAACAGTCGCTGGATTTCTCGTTCCTTGGAAAATCCTCTATACAACTTAATGAAGTTGCAAGCTGATCTTCTCCAGCAGATGGAGCAATAGCTCTACCTGCTCTATCTTAACCTTGTGGTCATACCGGCTTGTCAAAGCCTGATCCCGTCAGATCTCAGAAGCTCAGCAGGGCCGGGCCTGGTTAGTACTTGGATGGGAGATCGCTGGGAAAATCAGTAGCGACGGGGGTGCCATGTTGTAAAAACTGCTGTTGTGTCCTTAGGCAAGGCACTTCACCCTCATTGCTTAGTATGACAGTGGTGTGTGTGTGAGTGACGGTGGTGGTCGAAGGGGCCGATGGCACAGATTGGCAGTCTTGCTTCCATCAGTCTGCCCCAGGGCAGCTGTGGCTACAGTAGTAGTTTACCACTACTGGGTATGGAGTGAATGAATAACGCTCTGTAAAGTGTCTTTGAGTGTCCAAAAAAGCGCTATATAAAACTGATGCTTTATTATTATTATTTACCTCATCACACGTCTCATGGGCCACTACAAGCAGGGCTGGTCTAGCCATCCAGAGCACCTGCAGTTTCCCCGGTGGGGTGGCAACTGTCACACCTTCACCTTTGTCAAACAGCTTCAGTGACCCGCCCTCACGGGTGCCCTTGTAGGTGTCCTCATAGGTGCTTTGATGGGTGCCCTTATGAGGAGCTGGGAACACTTGAGGACATCTGTGCACCAACATGTACTATTCTTGTTTTTCTTTTAAACACTTCTATTCCCACAAACTGAACAACTGAGCTGATGTAACACTGAGCTATGTTAAACATTTATCACAGGTTCTATCTCAACAAACCAAGTCATATAATTACAAAAACATGAAACACTTTCAGTACTGATTACATGAAATGATAAACTAGTTTCATTCATGGTGTCAAATGTTTCAGTATTGTAACTTGTATATTGTGTAAAGATGGAAACAGGTCTGTGACTGTAGAAAGAACACCTTAAGATTCACTTTATAGATATTTAATGCCTGTAATTGACCAAGAGAATGTGAGTGAAAATCTGCAGGAACCAAACAGACTTGTGTCACTCTTGATTGGAGCCCTTCACATGATCAGTCTGGGACAGCTCTCACCTGTACCACCACTGTCTGTTGTTTAGTTTTAGTCTTGTGCTTTCCTCCTCAAACCACAGTGCTGTCCTGTGATTGGTCCAATCACTCCACCTTCTTCTTGCTGTGAGGCTGGGGTGCTATTGCACAGTTGTACCTCTCTCTGTTTTGGAAATATCTGTATAAGTGTTCCCCTCTCCCATCTAGTTATTTATTTATTAAACTAATCAAGATAGGAGTGGATTACAGATAACCTCAATGGGAGACTTCAGTGTGTCCGACTGGGGGACAGCACCTCTGACACTGTTGTCTGTAACACCAGAGCTCCACAGGGGACAGTGCACCTGTCACCCGTTCTGTTTACCCTGTACACGTCGGACTTTAGATACAAGTCAGAGCTGTGTCACATGCAGAAGTACTCTGACAACACAGCCATTGTGGGATGTATCAGGAACGGTGATAAAGGGGAGTACAGGCAGCTCAGTGAGGACTTTATAGGTTGGTGCAGGGTTAACCACCTTCAACTGAACACTGCAAAGACCAAAGCGATGGTGGTGGACTTTAAGAGGGGCAGACCACAGCTGCAACGTGTGGCTATTGAGGGGGATATTGTGCAGGTTGTAGAGAGTTAGAAGTATTTGGGCCTACAGCTCGTGCATATCATTTTGCTTTTGTTTAATGACAGGATAGACTGCATCCAACACTGTTGTCACTGGCTTAAATTGGACTGTCCCACTTTCTCCTTGAACAAACATCACTGGTCTGTTCAGTACATGATTGAAAGGTTCTATACAAGAAATAAATAAAAATGAGTTTGAAATTCACTTTAGCCCATGACATGTAGAGACACGTTAGATAGGTTAGTTAGACTGTGACAGGCTGTGGTGTCCTAGGACAGATGTGAACCAGAGCCTCCCCAACACCTCCCTCTCAAATAATGCTTATGGACTATTTGAACTAAAGTCATCTGGACAATACAGACAATAAAACAAGTGCAAAAACATATGTTATAAACAAAGATAGTGGCAGTACTTAAGTAAGTTGTACTCTGCAGTATGTTGCTCTGACAGGCCGACCTGGTGTGAGGTTTTGGCAGAATGAGCCGGTGCTGCCCCCTGGGTGTTGGTGTCGGCTCTGCAGCAGTTTGTACTTGATGCTGTCACGTTTTGACAGCCTCCTCCCTGTTACACTGGGGCCCTTTGAAAAGGTAGACTATAGACAGTGGAGAATCTCCCCTCTGCTGTTGAGCTTCTATATTCAGATTCCAGCCAAAACAAGGGCCTCCTCCCCATTACGATAAGCTAACACTTCTAGTGCCTGGGCTAGAGGAGCTTCACACTGGCCAAGAAGTAGCTGGTCTCAGGGCCTCTCAGAGGTGGGCTCAGAGTGCAATGACTGTAGCCTGTAATACAACACACAGAGGCCAAAATCAGAAACACTTTGAGCTGACTAAACGTAGAACTTCTGCTTTTGTGAGGTAAAAGAAGTCAGCATAAGTGCACCTCCTCATGCGGAAATTGTGTCTGGCCCCACCTCTATTCTCCATCTTTTGTTCATATAACTGACAACCTTTTTGGGCTCCGTTAGCGTTTGTGACCCCAACAACCCTTGGAGCTGCCCTCACCAGACTGATTATCATTTATCATTCGCTGACCCTCTGGAGCCAGGAGCACCACGTTTCGTTATAGAAGGTTCCTCCTTCAAACAATTGTGCCCACACCTCACACTGTTTAGACTAAAGCCACTTTCTACGCTGCTTTTTGGAGAAACATGCTTAACAAACTCGAACGAGATGAGGAAGCTTCGACAGTGCCACTCCTTCACTCATTCCTGTCCACCTCCAGGCTGGTTAACTGTGCAGTCAAAATCAACCGCAGTGTGGCCACAGACGTACTAAAGGCGAGGCTACAGTTCCGACCCCTGCTATAAGATACTCACCGGCTGACATGGCCCGGGAATGTGTGTCATCTCTGCGCTCTCAACGGACTGGTCCTCAGTGCGTGCGCCTCATCCGTGGCTTCACCATCCTCCTCGTTCAGCCTCCAAACACCTCTCCTGGGCGTCTCACAGGTGTGCTGCTCAAACAAGCACAAAGTAAAGGGCGAAAAGTAGCTTAAAAAACAGACTCTACAACTCACAACTCTACAAGTGAAAAAAGATGCACGTCATAATAAAACCATAACATTAAAATAATATATAGCGTGAAAACATTCTGACATAAATGCGTACGACGTGCACGCCGACGTGAGAGCGCGCGCTTTGACTACTAGACCAAAACGACCAAAACTTGCATGTTTGTGGAGATTTAGGCGCTATATTTCATGGTTTTATTTTGAAGTGCATGTTTTTCATTTGAAAAACTTTGAGTTGCCTTCCGCTTCAATAAAAATAAAAGTACCCTTTCACACATGAAAAAAGTACTACAGTGTATAATAATATTAAAACGCCTGTTTAAAAGCCTACTTAAAACGTAATAAGTTACTGATTTGTGCTAACTTATTCAACAGAAAAATTGCATTGCTAGTTTTATGTTTGTTTTTATGTTTGTTTTTCTGTATATTTGTTTGTTCACCCTACAAATGCGTTAAAAAAATAAAAACCCATAACCCATCAGGGTTTACAGCAGGTCTCAGAGAATAATAATAATAAAAATCAGTTAGTTAAAAAATGTAGAGAACAATGTAAAAATACATGCTCTAAAATGTAGTGAAGTAAAAACAAAAAGTGTCCAGTTTAAAATGTTCTTAAGTATACATTTTAAGTATCTGAAGGTTAAAACCACTGCTCTGTACTTGCTTCAGTACACCTAAGGCTAACACCCAGGAGAACAGCTTTATTATAGTTGGTGACCGAGGAAATCAGGATCAGTGGGCCTATGATACAAATCTTTCAGCTATTACATTTATTTGAGTTTGAATATCTTTTGGTGGCATCTGGTGGTAGAAATGCAAATATGCATGCAAATAGATTTATTATCTTCAATCAAAATTCTAATAAAAATAAATAAATTAAGTGGAATAACTGAAATAATTTAAATAGTCAGAATAAATAAAGGGTTATTAGACTCTAGAATAGTTCTAAGAAATATGTTCAGAAAAAGTTCTAGCGGCAAATTTGAGGAAAAGTCGGTAAACGTACTATTTCCCATAATTTGAGGGTGCTGATTCCAAATATTTTGTTTACCAAGCTGAATTTTGAGTTTTAAGAATGTTAATTAGCATAATAGCATAGACGCCAGGCTAATCAAATTAAAGTTCTCTTTAATTGAATGGATTTCATAAAAAGTCCAGAAAACAAATACCAGTATACTGTATATATATATATATCAGATAAATATTGTAACTAAAATAGAACTCACCACATGACCCCTAATTAGCATACTGAAATAAAAACAAGACTATACTGCAGAATTGTAAAGCTAGTGTCCTTCATTTCCTTCATTTCATGAGCAGAAATAAAACAAATTCCTGATTCAGATTTTTACTAGGTTTGGATTCTAGGTGACTGCTGATTTTTATTTCTGGAAGTCATTTATCTCTGTTTGCTATCGACAGCTTTCATTCTTTATTGAGAATATAGGCCACTGTTATGTTTTATATCACAACATTTCAGTAAATGTCACTGAGGGGGCGAGGCAGGCTAAGTGTCTTGCCCAAGGACACGACAGCATTCACCTGTGGGAGGTGGAATCGCACCACCAACCTGTGTGTCAGTGGATCTGACACTCAACCAATTGTGTTTATGTCGAGAGCGGGATTCGAACCGCCAACCTTCAGATCAGTGGACCAACACTTTGACCAACTAAGCTACTGTTGCAAAAATGCAAGAGCCACTGTTTTTTCAGATGTCAGGGACCTGAGGCTCTAAAGTGCTGCTGCTCATGGCCTATTAAAAGAGCACATTACCAAGCTCTAGTACGGAGACAATCAAATAGAACAAATCTAATTCTACCACCTGTGGAGGAAATGGGATGGAATGTAATCAGTGGAAACCTGACACCCAAACTGATGCAATCCCAGAAACCTGCCACTTGATGGTTACCTGCAGATGCAAGTATGATTGTAAGACAAGTAAATGCAGCTGTCACAGTGCAGGTCTGTTCTGTATAAGTGGCTGCAAATGTCAAAGTATTCCAGATCAGCCATGCTGCCAGTGCGGACTAAGAACACAGCCATAATTAAAGGAAACTAGCACTTCTTTCTCTAAACTCCTTATCTCACACATTAAACACAACATAAAAGAGCACACACTAAACACACTAAAATCCTGATGTGTGACTTTTTGTGATTTTTGCAGTGACTTCAAGGAAAATGGTTAATGTTTAGTGTCTCCTAGAGTTGGAGAGGCAACTTCTGTTAAACTAAAAATGCTGTAAATAACTTTGATCTGTATTTGTTGGATTCATATCCATTCTTAGTTTGATGTACAGTTTAGGATTTTTTTTTTTTTATCCGTATGTGATTTGCTTTGTTACCTTTATCCCATTTAGAAAAAAAAAATGTTGTTGAGTGGTGGAAGGGGGGCTCGTCCATCACCCTGGCTGAAGTCACTGAGGTTGTTGCCAAGCTCCAGGGGTGGATCATCTGTCCTAAAGATCTTAAGTCTCTGGATGTTATGGGTCATGGCGTGGCGGTCGAGGACAGTCCCTCTGGACTGGCAGACCAGGGTGGTGGTCCCTCTGTATAAGAAGGGGGACCGGAGGGTGTGTTCCATCTCCAGGGGAATCACACTCAGCCTCCCCAGTACGGTTTATGCCAGGGACTGGAGAGGAGAATCCAGCCAATAGTCGAACCTCGGACCAGCTCTATGTGTCTGATGTTGTCCTGATGGCTTCATCAGGCCAGGACCTGCAGCACTGGGGCGGTTTGACCCGAGTGTGAAGCATCTGGGATGAAGATCAGCTCCTCCAAATCCGAGGTCGTGGTTCTCGACCAGAAAAAGGCGTCTTGTCGTCTCCAGGTGGGTGGAGACTCCCTGCCTCAAGTGGAGCAGTTCAAGTATGTCGGGGTCTTGTTCATGAGTGAGGGGAGGATGGAGCATGAGATTGACAGGTGGACAGATGCAGCTTGGGCAGTGATGCGGTCACTGTATAGGGCCGTTGTGGTGAAGAGGAGCTGAGCCGAAAGGCAAAGCTCTCGATTTACCAGTCAATCTATGTTCCTCCCCTCATCTCTGGTCATGAGCTCTAGGTAATGACCGAAAGGACCAGATTGACGATACAAGCGCTCGGAATTAGTTGTGTCTGGGTGCTCCCTTAGAGATAGGGTGAGGAGCTCAGCTACATGGGAGGAGCTCTGAGTAGAGCCGCTGCTCCTCCATGTGGAGACGAGTGGCTGAGGGGAGGGCATCTGTTCTGATGCCTCCTGGACGCCTCCCTCGGGAGGTGTTTCGGGCACGTCCCAATGGGAGGAGGCCCAGGAAAACCCAGGACACGCTGGAAGGACTATGTCTCTGGGTTGGCCTGGGAACGCATCAGGGTCCCCCTGAAGGAGTTGGAGGAAGTGTCTGGGGTGAAGAAAGTCTGGGAGTCCCTACTTAGACTGATGCCCCTGTGACTCCGTGGATGGATGGATAATATACTCATAAATTATATATATTATTAATATGCAAATTAGAATGATTAGAACTCTAAATCCATCTTGGTAAACAAAATATTCTGAATCAGCACCCTCAAATTATGCAAAAAAAAACAAAAAACGGTTTATCGACTTTTCCTCAAATTTGCCGTTAGGACTTCTCTTCTGTGAAAATACTCCTAGTTTATAATATAGGGCCTTTAAAACAAGAACCAATAACGTGTCTCATCATTTTGTTATTTCCATGTTGTATTTTCAAGAAAACGCAGCCAAACTCGGTCCATTCTACGAGATTCTTAATGGTCTGTGCAGCGCTGTCCGTGGGTGCTGAACTCAACATTTGAATACAGTTTTGTTCTGTGAGTTTAAAAAATGTGAAAAACAGAACTTGTTAATTTTAAACATTTTGCAGTGGTCCAAAGTTATTTCTCATTCTTCTTATGCATTCCACTTATCATAATCTTTATCCACATGAAACATCCAAACTCTGCTCACCTCTGTGAGTGTGTGGGCCTGGGTCTGACCTCTGTGAGTGCACGCATTTATTCATGTTTTTTTCCGTGTGTGTAAATTTTTTCCACAAGTGAAAAAATCATTTACAGAGAGACAAGTGTGGAGAAAAACGTCAGTAAAGACGAGTCTTCTTTTCATGGTCATGTGGACTCTTGTTTGTTCTATCTGTCTAGCCCTGGTAGTGACACCACAGTGAGGACAGAATAGTCGGCCTATATCATTTTCTTATGCTGATGTAATATGACATAGTCTCGTGGTTTTATTCTGAAATGCATGTATTTCATTTGGAAAACTTTGAGTTGCCTTCTGCTCTTTACATTGCACTCGGCATCATGCTTTGCACCAGTAGAAAAGTAACTAAATTGAGGCAACTTCTTTAAGTCAAAGTACAGACACTGGACCACCAAAAAATAAAGTAAAATAAAATATAAAAGTAGTAAAGCGCGTGGTTGTTTAAAAATTTACTTAATAATATTAGTGTGGAACATTCCAAGTAAAGCTATAATAAAATCTCCATGCGTCTCTGAATTCAAATGTTTGCCATACAAATAATTAGTGGAAATAGTAATAGTAATTTATCAATAAATATTTTATTGGGACTTGTAACAGCAAGTAATCACAGTGGTAGTAGTAGTAGTGGTAACAGTTGCAGTAGCAGTAGTAGTTCTAGCTGCAGCAGCAGTAGGCGTAATAGTTATAGCTGCAGTAGTAGTAGTAGTAGTCGTCATCGTAGTAGAAGAAGCTAAAACTGTATTGCAAACAGTACACTGAAAGTGGCCAATGAGAATGTGCTGCCATCTATAGTTCACATCACACATTACAACTAGAAAACCAGCGACTCAATCATTTCAAACATTTTATTAAATACATCTGCAAAAAATAAAATAAAATAAAAAATAAAAGAACACAAAAATAACATACTGTACATTTCATTTAAATCAATTCAATTGTAAATTCTAATTTTCTAAAAGTGATGAGATACAGTGCAAATGATTTTGTAATGTTGATAGATAAACAGAAGGCCAATAAGTTCATATTTGTGGAAGTTACTTTAGGTATTAGTACAATATATAGAATCATCATAGTACCATTTAAAGGTGCACAATCTTGCACTGTCTTATGGAAATGTTATTGCTTTGCCTGGAATGTACTGCAGTATGGCATTATACGCGTCCTCCTTTTTTTCCAATTACAAGTGTTTTTATCACTAGAAATGCAATTATTATGTGAGTGGAACCACCTTTCCACCAATCTGAATTAACTGAATTAACTTCTCTCCATAGACATAGATCAACTTAATGCCATGCGGGACATTTCAAGCACAGCAATAGCATCGCCATGGAGACAAGCAGGTGATGTACTCTTCAACAGAAAAGGTACTGAGTGCGCCTTTGAGTATTTTAATTAAAAACATTTCTAAACTTGCACTGACCAAGTAAGTAAACTTTAATGGAACATGTTTTTATAATGACAATTGTGCAATAAAAGCAAGGAGTAACAAAACAGAGGTAGCTTTGAGACATCACCAGAAATTTTGAGTTGGGTCCAAAATTAAACTTCTTTGTAAAGGTGCACTGTGGAACTTTTTGGTTGGGGGTCCATCACCTGCTTGTTTCTACGAAGATGTCATTGCTGTTTAGTGTCATACTGTTGAACATTCCAAACAGAGCTCAATTACAGGTGGTTTTATAGCTCAAAAATATCTAGAAAAACAGACATTCAGACTGTGAGCGGCTTCGCCTCTCCACAGACCTGACCTGTAACTTGGTCTAGTTTAGTGTCCATAAAGATAGAAAGGTTTAATGCCACACTGTGAACATTTCAGACTAAGTAATAACATCTTCATGGAGAAAAGCATTTGACGAAGGCTCCAACAGAAAAGTTGCACCTTAAAAGTGGGGAGATTTTGTATGTTTTTGTTGTAATACAATAATATTTGAGCTGTTAAAGGTTGAATAAGTGACTTCTACAGCTAATTATTATGCATAAAGTAGTTTCAATATTAAAACATATATTATAGTATCAAATTTGTTATCGTGTCAGGCCTAAGAAACAGAAAATGATTAACTCAAAATGTAAATAGAAAAAAAAGAATCAGTTTCAGTTTCAGTATTATTATAGATTAGGGTTGTGCTTTAAAAGGCTGTAAACATTTGAAACGGTTTTGTAACATACGGAAAAAAGAACGGAGAGGTGGCTGTGACACACCGAGTTAAGGATTTAACCGCTAACCAGAGGGTAACCAGCTCGAACACCGCTGAAAATATAGGCCTACTTTTGTTGTGTCCTGGAGCAAGAGACTTCAATCACACTCATGTAAATAAAAAAAACCTGGATTTCTATGATTTCAAAAAACAAACAAAAAAATAAAACACACACACCAAATTGTAACTTGTCAAAAATGTGAAAGCTGTTCTATGTGTGTTCAAAATTAGGTCATTAAACAGTAGCAAAATAAAAATCAGGCCTTCCAATGATTCAAAAATAGATAATTGTGCCCCAAATTCAAGCATTTCCAAAAAAAAAAAAATTAATTCTTTGTTCAATGTCTCGCCTCTTGCTCTTAACCCTTTTTCACGCTGTACTGTCCAGGAGAAATCCCATGGGCTTAAACAAAAGTCAGAATTTCAATAGTAAAAAAAAAAAAAAAAAAAAAATAAATTCAAATCAAACAATGTCCAATTTATGAACCAAACCTTTGTTCCTTTGTTCCCAAATGTCTGCCTCCTCTGTGTCTTCTCATGGCACTGAAGGTAGTATTTTTGTCTTAATTATAGCTATTTCTAAAAAGTCCATGTTAAAGAATGCTCCCGTTGAGTGCGGCGAAACTCAGGCTGCTGTTTCGTTTCTGCCCGAGGAGAGACGAGATTCCGCCCACTTCGAAAACTTCGTGAACAGCTTTTCGGAAACAGTGGAAGTTATAGTCAATCAAACCTGAAAAAAGAATTCAAGAAGTTTAGTTATAGTTATCTGTTATAGGCAAAAAATACTTATTACCTGTGAATACTGCATTAAATCCATAAACAGCAATTTACAATATTGATTTAAAGGCACTGTACAGGATTTTTATGGTCTTAAAAACAGAACTAACTCATTTTAAAAAGTGCATTGTGTAACTTTTCTGTTGGAAAATCCATCAAATGCTTTTCTTTATGGAGATGATATGGAGATTGTTTTGACTGTAATGTTTCACAGTATGGCATAAACCTTTCTATCTTCATGGAGACCAAACCAGATCAAGTTACAGGTCAGGTCTGTGGAGAGGCGACCCCGCTCACAGTCACAATGCCTGTTTTTCTAGGTATTTTTGAGCTATAAAACCACCTGTAACTGAGTAAATGTAAGGTAGATCTGTTTAATGTCATAATGTGGAACATTCCAGGCAGAGCGATGACAAATCCATGGAAACAAGCAAGTGAAAGACCCCCAACCAAAATGTTACATTGTGCACCCCGTTTCTAAGTATGGATGCACTAATCCAGTACAGGAAAATGTACCGGATTGGATATCGATTTCCAAATATCGGTTCAATCGATGTACTGGTTGGACATATACTTAAAGCTATAGTATCAGAATTGGAACTGAAAAAGCTGGGTTGGCACATCCCTATTTCTAATAATTCACCGCAATGCATTTTCCCCGACTTTCAGAGGTTGCATAGTTTGGCCATCACTGTAACAGCACATTTCCTGGTTCTTGGACAATAAAAAGCATTATAATTAGATGCAGACAGTACACAGCGGACTCATTTTGACCCTAAGAGCTGCTTTTACAATAGATCTGTACTGAGGCAATAAAAGATTTAGCTCAGACAGTTGAATTATGCAATAGTACTTTTAGAATAAATGCATGGCAAATTTTGGTTTGCCAAGAAGACCTAAATTTATCTTTTCTAGTACCGTATTTTTTGGACTATAAGCCGTATTTTTTTTTTTTTTTCATGGTTTGGGTGGTCCTGCGACTTATACTGTGGTTCAACTTATATATTAAAATTTTCAGACTAACAGCCTCGAGAGGGCGCTCTAGGCTTGTGTGCCAGTATCTAGTACTACTATTACTCCTGTACCACTGTCACTTTGCACTCTACTGCGCGTGCCTCCTGTAGAATAAGCCCGCTGTCCTGCTGCAAATAGTGAAATATGCAGCCGAAAACGGTAATCGAGCAGCAGAAAGAAAGTTTGGAGTGAGCGAGAAACTTGTGAGGGACTGGTGGAAAGCAGGGATCGAGAAGACAGCTTCACGGCAACCGGAGGGTGCACCATGTAACTTTCCTGGAAGTCACTGGATGAATCGAAACCCGAAACCATCTTGTCGGGATTCAGAAAGGCCAGAATAATTCTAACTGGAACTGATGCTGAGTAACTGATGCTGAGTCTGACGACAGCTATGCAGAAGAGGAAGCAGCGCTCCGTTTACATCATGGATCTATAGTTTATCTCCGGAGGTCGCGCAGAAGTGACACCGAGGATGAAGAATTCAATGGATTTAGTGATTTGGCGTGAGATTATGAGTTTAGTAAACTTGCGTTCTGTTGTTTTTGCTAGTTTTCTAAATAACTGTTAATATGTTACGTTAACATATTAACGCATGTTCAGCCTGTTGTTCTCTGTTCTACTATAACTTGCCTTTCAAGATGAAATGTCAGTTCCTGGTCTCTGATTTTATAAAATACATTTTCCCAAAAAGTGTGACTTACATATTACAGAATTTATTATTTTTTCCTTCAATGCGCATTTTTTGGCTGGTGCGACTTATAGTCCGGAAAATACAGTATATGGGTTTATTTCTTCTCCATGCTTACAGTAATCCTTTTATCAGCAATTTTCTTATCCTCAAAACAATTTTCCACTTTATCTAATTAGAGTAATTATCAAATCATAAAGGTCCTCTGTAAAAAAAAATCCTGGCTGTAGTTTCGACCTCTACAAACATACACAACAGATTTCAGTTTTCTCTCAAATATACTATCCTTTATAAAAGTGTTGCAATTTGAATTTTTCTTTCAAAATGTTGCTACCCTAAAAAATGCATGACAGACCTTTCCTCTCGAAGCTCTCCTCTCGCAGGATACAAACTAGAGCCAAGAACTTGGTGACCTCCTTCAGATACAGCACTGTGGTGTTGTTCAGTTTGATCGTTGCTAAAGACTCTTTGTCATAAGCACAGCCACTGCCGTCCTGCATCAGCCTGGAACAAGAGAGGACAAATTTAAAAGGTCCCATCTTACGCAAAACATTGGCCGCATCTCAATTCTCTTTCCTCACTTCCTTCTCCTTGATTCCTCTCTTCGATCCTCCATTTTTTAGCTGTCAGTTACAGGAGTCATATTACGTGGTGCCTTAAAGAAAACTACAGAATAAAGGAGTAAACCTGAGGGAGGCTTCAAGAGCAGACATCAGAGAAAAGAGTCAAACTTTATTGGTCTCAGTGAGGAGTTTACATCCTCTCTCCTGTGTCTCCTCTGTGGATGGGACTTCCTCACCCATTTCCGGAAGAATCAAGAAGAGGAATCAAGAAGGATGCGAGATAAGAGATACGCCGCATTGACTCTTGTGAGCTTGTTAGAATGCCCTTACCTGCTCAAAAACAGACCTGGAGTTGTGTTTTGTTTCATTCACATATGCTTGAGTAATCCTTTATTAAAAGTCTGTAGATCTTGGGTTGTCATGTAGTGGTAGTTTTCAACTTAACAGCTACCGTTTACTTTTAGTTCAGTAGAGATTGGCAATTCCAGGTCTGAAATCATTCAAATGATTCTAGTGAAGGTGTATAGAGTAAAAACACAGTGAAGCACTTCCTGTATCACCACGGGTTTTTACCACATCAGTGTTTTCTGTTTGAGAGGAGAACTCAGCCTAAATTTGCAGGGTTTGTGTGTTAAACATGTGTGAATTAAACAAAACAAAACTCCAGGTATGGTTGTGATGAGGAAACTACACTATAACATAAATCAGAAAACAACGTTAAATGGGCTCTTTAATGACCAGTGGGCGTGTCCGAAAAACAGGCTAAAACAAGAGATTTTCTGAGCAATGACGTCTTGAATACAGAAGAATAAAGATGACTCAAACATGCATGAATCACTCTAAATACAACTTTGAGAGGGTAAATGAGGAACAATTATAACTCTGAAACGTCTCATTTAAACTGACCCGTAGATGCAGGAGACGTCTATGACCACGTCGATCATGTCACAGCACAGTTCGTACGACTGCATGTCCACAGGAGAGCTGTCCGTGGCAATGTAGATTTTACTAACCACATCAAACAGGAATGCCTTCTCTATCCCCGAGTGCTAAAAACACAGGAGAAACATGAGGGTCTGAGCAAGGAGTCTGGCCTTCTGAGTACTGAAATATCTTCAAATCAGAGCAAACACAAACTTACCGATATAAAAATGTTGAGGAGGTTTTCGAGCGTGGGCAGCTGAGGAATGAGCTTCTGGACGACTTTACTGAAGGCCTCAAAAATGGAATGATCGTAGATACTGGTCAAATAGAAACTGAGGGAACACAAAGAGGAGATAAGAAGAAATGTTGTGTTTTCTGTTATGGCGTTTGTTAAATTATTAATGTATAGAGATAAATTAATATATAAAGGTAGCCATTGTTATTTTAAACCAAAGTGATCTGAAACAACTTTACAGCAGAAGTAGGTTCACTGACTTCCTTTTCAAAACTACAGATCTATCAAGCCCCACCTAATCGTAGTGACATTTCACCTTAATCTTTATTTACAATGTTTTTATTTTTGAGGTTCTGAATTTAATCCAGAATCCTGATTCAAATTCTCAAAAAAAAAAATCTCAAAATGGGGTAGGAGAAATAATAATGATACAATGATAGCGTCATTAACTCACTGGCACATAATAAAAAAATAGAAACATATATTTAAACTACCGTATTTTCCGGGCTATTAGCTCTTAAGCCTCTAACCCTATCAAAAAGCGACCGAGCGCCCCACAAGCCAGAGCGCCCTGAGCCACAACTGAGTGACTGCAAACACGCCAACAAATCAGCGGTCCCAGACAGCACCCTCCCGCCACAATTGAACAAAGCCCAGAGTCACCGTGAACGCGCCAAACAAAGTCCAACTGACCCATCTAACTGTTGTGTTTCGTTTACAGTCCGGTGCGGTTTATTTGTGGAAAAAAGTTCGAAAATAGACCATTTAATGACGTTTTACATAAACATCACTTGTAGAGCAGTCAGATCCACTAACCCACAGGTTGGCGGTGCAATTCCAGCTCTTACTGCTACTGTTGTTTTTATTTTTTATGACTGCATAGAATGACTCTTGTAGGTAAATCTTCCATATTCCCATCCTTCTAACCTGAGATGTACTTTTTCCAGATTGGCGTCGGCTAAGTCGTCATTGGCTCGTTGGTGAATGTCTCTCTGTGTTTCGATCTTGTGGTCATCTGATAAGCCGTCCACTTTGTGAATGAAAACCTCAAAGTTGATATTTGGGTTCACTCTGAAGGCCCGGGACACTGTGAGATGTAACCGACTCAAGGCTTCTACATAATCATCCTGGAACAAGAGGAGAGATAGGGTTAATAAACCACTGTCTCACCACGTAACTATGAAGTCATCAAGACCAGATAAAGCTCCACTGTGTAACATTTTAGCCAGAAAACACACCAAAATTAAAGCATGTTTTCCTTATGATGGTTTTTAGATTCTAGAATTTGATGTCATACTCCCAGTTGGAGGACAAATTCTCCTTGTTGATAACATGGTAACTAGCTACATTAGAAAACTGCATTTTTATATTAATTTTAGCTCCACCATCTGTATTTATTTATTTATTTATTTCCATAAAACTGTGATACCTCTAAAATGTTACACAATATTGCTTTAAAAAATATAGAACTCAGAAATATTTAAACCACAAAAACATCCCAGCTTATCAGTGAATATTTGACACCAGTTGAGTTAAAATGTGATTATTTGCCCAGACCAGTATCTTGATTAAACAAACAAACAAAGTAACTATCACATCAAGGCTATGGATCATAAAAAAGGGTTGAAACAATGCATTATTAATCAAGTATGAATACAGTATCCAAGACGCCAAATGGCTAAAATGGCAGATGTAATTACCCAAAATGTGAACACTTCTAGTTTGTTTTGGGGTTAACTTAATCTTTTTGTATACTGTGTAATTATCCTGATTAGTTCAAACCTGTGCATCGATGACAAAGATAAGGGCTCCGGTTCCTTTGAAAATCAGCTCACTGTCGAACGTCGGGTCAAAGAAATCCACCTGTCCCGGAAAATCCCAGATCTGGAACTGCACAAATGAAGTGCTGGAGATGTCATCTTTGTAGATTTTATTTGTGCTTTCCAGAAATAAGGTCTCATTTGGCGACATTTTATGGAACACCACCTGGAGAGAGAGAGAGACAAGTATTCAAGTTTACACAACTACTGATTAGATTATAACTGTTATCTTTCAGTGCACATTACCTTACTCACTGGCTGTTACGTGCACACTCAAAATCTGATTATGGTTGGATTTTTTGAGTTATAAAACTATTAAAATAACATGTAAACAGCAAAATCAAAAGATATCTTTCTGATTGTGGTCACTCTGATTACTCACATCAGATCTGAAGATATAGCACTGTATGTCCAGAAATCAGATCATAATCGAATTTAGCCCATGTTAGGAAAATAAAGAAGTACAATTATTAATAATACTACTGAATTTTGCAACTGAATGTTACTACTACTACTACTACTACTACTAAAAGTAAAATCTCAATTGGTGTATAGGACCATATAGGAATAAACAACAATTATTTTGTTTAGAAAATGATATTATCCCATAAATCAGTGGTATCAAAACTAGTATTATACTACTACTACCACCATTTAGTTCCTTTTTAGACAAACCTCAAAATATAGCACTTCTCAATTTGAGTATCTGGTATAAAATAAATTATTATTATTTTAAGACCTTAAAACTGAGTCTTCTGAGCTTTAAGCATTATACAATTGATTCTAGTGAAGGTCTATGGAGTTTAAAAACACAGTGGAACACTTTTTGTATTACCACATGACATAACAATGTGGTTTCACAATGAGCATTTTCTGTTTGAAAGAGGAACACAGTCTAAATATGCAGAGTTTGTGTGTGCAGGAAACACAACACAACTCCAGGTATGTTTAGGTCTGTTTGTGATGAGGAAACAACATTATGGCAGATCAGAAAATAGTGTGATATGGCCCTTTAACAAAATCTATGCGAACACTGTAAACTTAAGTCTAGAAGGACAATATTATGAGCTTGTTGGTGTCAGTTTTCACCTTCTGGATGGAGGACTTCCCGCTCCGCCGCAGTCCCATCAACAGAATCCGGGGTTTGTCGCTGGATGTCGGGTTTTGTACCTCAGGCTCCTCCGCTCCGTAGTCAAAACTCTTCGGAAAAGACCCAAAACTCCCCGCCAAACCAGCCTCATCGTACTGAATAGACATTTTAACCTCCGTTTCCTCAATCTACGTCCCTCTAAAACTAAAGATCCCCGAGTGTTTTTGGATGTCTCCTTGAAATACGCCCGTAAAACTGTCAGATATGCACCCCAAAACAAGTTAGCATCACACGCTAAGCAGCAAACAGCCTATATATGACCATGTTTCGTAAAATTTACACTTTCAAATACGACGTACTCATGTGATCGTAATTATAAAGGAGACCCGAAGTGTCTCCTCCCATAAAATATCCATAAATCTGATTCTTAACCCCCCCAAAACAAACAAATCTGTAAAAAATGGCTAATCACGAACAACTTCAGTACTTCCGCCCCCTTTTCGTATCTTGATTCTGATTGGCTGTTTGATCCAAACAGTATCATGTGACCGCCCCCTCTTCAAACAAGCAGGAAGAGGAGTGATCGGTAATGTTTTGGAGTTTAAAAACGTTTTCTTTTATTTTTTATCTTAATTTAACACAAGACAATCTTATTATAGCATTTTTATCGTGTTAAATAATTTCCTGATTTATAGTTATGTTATTTTACGTAAGATTTTATGATTTTACATAAGTGGCATAGTTGAATAATCGCTTGTTTAAAGATCTGACTTTGATAAAATTCGCAGTTTGCATTGGATTAAATGCAAAATCTTATATTGAATTAGATTTGTTTATCTGTTGGTTTATTGCAGAGTCATGGCGGCGTGTTTCGTGTATTTTCTGGCCACTGTTTCTTTGCTGTTTGTAGAAGGAAGTCCAGTTTTTAAACCCAACAATGAAACAACTCCAGTGGTCCTTTGGCACGGGATGGGTATGATCTTTTACTTTTACTTTTATTTCAGTTGATACGGATTGACCATGGACCGCTACGTGTTCCAGACGGTGTTTTATATAGATGTAGAATGAAAAAATATTTGAGATTTGCTTTTATTGCTTTTGCAATTACAGAGCTATACAAATTTTGTTTTATATGTTGAAGGTTATAACCAGTTTGTTACATGGAATTTTCTTGACTTTGTCTATATTTTTAGAACTTTGATATTACAATTTAAAGCACCCTCATAGATGTTTATGATCACCACCTTGGCATATGGCTGGGATGTTTTCACTGAGAGCCACATATAGAAATATATTTGAAGCCGAGGGCCACAAACTGGTGATCAATACAGTAAAACATTCAGACAGATGCATTTAACATGATTTTGAAAGAGCCACCGTTAATAAAACTTGAAACAAACATTTTAGGTCTGTATCATAATGCAATATGGTAAATTTGGAGTTGAAAGTACTGCCTGTGTTCATTTATGTAAATTCGACAGCAGACTTGAGAGCCACATTTGGACGCCCCTGGTTTAAAAAGTAACAGCAGATCTTACTCTGTATATTCTGTGAATGGTCTAAACCAGGACTAAACCAAGAATTAATTTGAATTGCGGAACAAACTGACAGAGGCCAAAAGTTGAATAAAATTTATTTTTAAAAGCAGAGGACAGACCTGGTTGTGTATGCCTGTGTTTGAGCTGAGCATACAGCAACGTTACATAAGTAAGTAAGTAAGTCTTTATTTATATAATGCTTTTCACAGACATTTTTTTTTGTCACAAAGACGCTTTACAGAGCATTATTCAGCAATATTCATTCACTCTATACCAGGTGTGATGGTAAACTACTTTTGTAGCCACAGCTGCCCTGGGACACACTGACAGAAGCGCAGCTGCCATGCCAATCGGCACCATCGGTCCCTCCGACCACCACCATCACCCACGCACACGCCACTTTCATACTAGGCAAAGTGTCTTGCCTAAGGACACAATGACCGTTATTCCCACTGGCACCCACTGTGGCACCTGAGTGTCTCCCATCCAAGTACTGACCAGGCCCAGCCTAGCTTAGCTTCTGAGATCTGATGGGATCAGGCTTTGACAAGCCGGTATGGCCAATATGATCCACATATGATCCACTCCTTTAATGTAGAAAACCTGAATTTCTTGTTATTCTTCTGTACTATGAAAAGATTTGAGCTGATTTGACTTGAGCTTCTTTTCAATACTATCGTTAAATATTTTCTTTAGCGATATATCGTACTTCAAAATGTGTTATCATGACAGGCATGCTTGTTTTGTGTTGCCAGGTGACAGCTGCTGTAACCCTCTGAGCATGGGCTCCATCAAGAGACTGATCGAGCAGCAGATCCCCGGAGTCTACGTCCTGTCACTCATGATCGGGAAGAATGTTATCGAAGTAAAACAATATATTTATTTTAACTTAGACTTAGATGTAGACAAATTTTACTGATTCTCTTACATAAGGGTGAGTTGTTGTACAGTTGTAGAGAGTATTATCTGTTCCATTAGGGTAAGTTGCTGTACAGTTGTAGGGAGTATTATCTGTTACATAAGGGTAAGTTGCTGTACAGTTGTAGGGAGTATTATCTGTTCCATAAGGGTGAGTTGTTGTACAGTTGCAATGAGTATTATCTGAATGAGCTCCTATCTCCCTCTATATTTTTGCATTAATTATTTTACTCATTTTTTTTATATTTAAAGTACCGTAATTAACTTTAACCATGTTTGTTTAAGGATAATTATATCGAAAAAATATCGAAAATTAGATACTAATTAGTACTAAAACTAGTATTGAAGATAGACACTCATTTTAGCAGGTATCAATACTAAAAAAGTCACATTCACGGGACAGAAATGAACCTTTTTTGAATGGCTTTAGAATGACCCAAGTAACCCAAAGTAAAGTTTGATTTTCAGTTTCAATATGATTACAAATAATCTTGTTGTCCCGATTCTAGATTTTAGGGACGATTTTGGGAAAGTAAATGCACTTTTTGATCACCGTTAGTTGTACTATTTTAAAAAGTTGATTTAAAAAGTAGGATTCTGTACATTCAATGCTCATTGTAAATAACTCCAGGAGCGTTCACATTTGAGAGAGACTGAAATATGAATTGCATGCATTTCAGAAAATGTTTGTAGATGTTTTAACTACGGGTACAACAAGATTTTCAAAAAAGGACATATTTTGTTCTTTGCAGTGGACATTTTATTATCTAAAAAAATGCAGCCTTTGTCCAAATCCAAATCTCCTTTATGAATATAGCACATTTTACAACCAAATCAGTTTCCAAAGTGCTGCACAGAGATCATAAAATGAAGACAACATAAAGGTAAATAGCTAAAGATCTGATCATACCTGTCCTAAAAAAATAAAACCAGGAAAATGAAAAGCAAAACCATAAAAATCACAACATAGAAATAAATAAGTAAAATACATAAAAGACACAAATAACCACACAACTCACACGGTGTTAAAAGTCACAGGATAAAAGTGGGTTTTAAGACGTGACTTTAAACGCTCCACTGTGGGGGCTGTGCGCACGTGAGGGGCACAAAGAAGGTTCTGTCCCCCCTGGTTTTAAGCTTCAACACGAGCTGGAGCTGGCCCTTGAGCCTTAGATTGCGTGTGGGGGTCTAAATTTGTGATTTAATAACTGTGTCGACTCAAATTCTGATTATAGTTACGATATATTGTGTTGTTGTTTATTTTGAACATGCATAGAAAAAAACAGCATCAAGACGTAACAAAAAAACATAAGAAAACCAACCAATAATGAGGATCCATTATGTTTACAAAGAATTATACAGTATACATGTTCAAAAAGAAGTGGGTGGGAGTACAAACGTATTTATTTCCACCCCTTTTCCCCAGTGCTACATAACAGATTTCATGCATTCTGTTTCCATATCATTTGATCAAGATATATACAATTCACTTTTAAAAAATTTCTACTGAAACATATTTATACAATATTCTTTATTCTTAATACCCTTTAGCATCACTGAACATTTCCATTTCTTTCGTATCTCATAAAAACTGTACAGATCTGTTTACTATATCGTTTTGAAAAGTCCGAAAGTCAGGCTTAAATTTCTAACCCTAGTTTTTCCAATTTTCCAAAGGAGCTCTTGAATACACCTTAGAACTCCCCACTGTTCCAGCTTTGATTGAAATATCCCGGTGACATTTCTTGCAGAACCAGTGCCACAAGTTACATCAGAAACGATTGCACAACGTCCCTCTCTGTAAATTAAAATTCATAGTAAACTCAACCTGAACTCTTTGCGTTTGCTTTGATCCATATAAATACCGTGACATTTTTCAACTAGTTTCTCATTTCTTCCATTTTAAGTTCGTCACGGTGGATTAATTGGATGTTTTTGGGTCGGCAGGACACTGAAAATGGCTTCTTCATGGAGGTGAATGAGCAGGTCGCGATGGCGTGTGAAAAACTGGCCAAGGACCCGAGGCTGCAGGGAGGGTACAATGCCATGGGCTTCTCCCAGGGGGCGCAATTTCTGTACGTATGAAGCTGGAAGATGCATCATTTTTAGGTTGATTTAATTATTTTGTTATATAGATTTTGTGACTATCATAATTTGAAAAGTTGAATTAAAAATAGTAATTAATGAAGACAAAAACAACAGAATTTATATTTGGTGGATAGGACCTGTGGCCAATATTTTTGATAGTTTTGCATTAGTTAAGTGGCAGTTTGTGGAGAAAAGTGGCAAAGAAAAGTCACATTTGTTCACTTTTTTTTAATTAATCTCAAGAATTTTGCAAACAATTAAAGATTTTACTTTTTTAGTTCACAGTTATCTTTTAAAAACTGGACTATCATAAAACACCCACATTTTTTCTTAATTTTTAAAATAAAACTTAGGGCATGTTTCCCTTGTCCTGTTTTTGTCCTGGTTTGAGCCTTAAAAAAAAGTTTTTATTACATGTTTTTGAATTGAATTGACAGTAAAATCAGTGTATACACCTCGCCACATTTGAATAGAAAGGATTTGAAGTGGAAAATGAGAATCAAACTACAGTCATGTGTTCCTGTAGTTCCTGTTCCAGTCTAGACGGATATTTAAAGCAACAATGCAAAAACAAGACTCCTTTGTTCTGAATTTTAAATTTTCATGGTCATAGTCCTAGTCTATTGTGGTTATAGGAAATGTACAGATTGTTTTCTTTGCTTTAACATAGACACACATAAAATTATCATAAGAAGTGTAATTTATTGTGGATGTGTTTTCAGGAGAGCAGTGGCCCAGCGCTGTCCAAATCCTCCAATGAAGACGCTCATCTCTGTGGGAGGACAGCACCAAGGTAAAACAGAAAACAGAAAACAGACATTTCTTTATATGATTATTTTTATTTCAGGTATTTACAACATTAGATGGAGAATAAAAACCATTAGGGTCATTAGGGTCTCTTATTTCACATTATTCTGTGTTCTGTGCATTAAACGAAACACAACAGTTAGATAAGTCAGTCAAACTTTATTTAACACGTTCACGATAACTCTCAACTTTGTTCAGTTGAAACGCGTAAAAGAAATACTGTCTGAGAGCGTTAAATTGTTAGTGCATTCACAATAATTCATAATAGTTCAAACAGTTGGGTGATTCCAGCGTCCACACGCCCACATCCCTCTCGTCATGATCCGAGTCAGTGTGGTTACTGTTCCCTGGCAGTTCAGTGATGATTCTGGTCTTGGTGAAAGCTCGGCCCACAGTTGATACTGATCTTTAGCCCGGGTGTCCACGATCCGTCGGCAGATCGAGGCGTAAGTCACTCGGCGCTGTCTCTCTGTCTTGGTGAATGTGTGTTCTCCTTCTCTCATCCACTGCTCCCACGCAGCTCACACTTTCACTTTATAACAGCCTTGAGTTTAAAGTGGGCATTGTGAGCGTGTGTCTTGACAGGTGCATTTTGATATTAAAAGGAATCACAGTATGTATTACTCCTGATGCTCCTGACTACGGGAGCCGCAATGCTGCAAGTGGTACGGCTTTGTACTTTACTAAAGTCATACTAAGACACCCCAATAAATTCATATATAATGTATTGTAAGGCGAGCAGTCATTTTTTGATTAAAATAAAGGCTTTTAAGTGCGCCCTATAGTGCGGAAATACAGTATTTGAAGACTTGGACTTGGACTTGGACTTGGACTTAGATTTAGACCAATTTTATTGATCCACAAGGGAAATTATTTGGACACTGTAGCTGACACATCACAATATAATATAATATAATAACATAGAAAAAATATAAATGATAATAATAAATTCTAAAACAACAAACATAGCAAGAGACTGGTGTCAAAATAAGGTATAATTATATAAATATGAACAAGTAAAATGTACAGAAAAAAAACCCTCTCTTTTTGATGGACAGGAGTGTATGGATTTCCCAGGTGTCCAGGAGAAACATCTAAAATCTGTGACTTCATCCGTGAAGCTTTGAACGCCGGAGCCTACCGCGACTGGATTCAGAAACAGTGCGTTCAGTTTGATTTTTAAACTGAACAATATACATACAATACAACAGATTGCAGTAAATAAACCTTTTCCTTTTTCTTAGTCTCGTCCAGGCGGAATACTGGCATGACCCTCTGAATGAAGACCTCTATAAGGAACACAGCCTGTTTTTGGCCGATATCAATCAAGAGAGGGTGAGTGAGTGTGGAAAATATATATCATTTTCATTTTATTGTGTATTGTCTAATATGACGATGTGACTAAACAACTATTCAAATAATCATTGACTACTCCAGCTTTTATGGTTAATTGTTATCTGGACTATACTGACTCTAAAACTTGTGCTATCGTAAGTAAAGAGGTTAAAGACAACACTGTTCTTGGATCAAAATGGCACAAAAATAATACACTTCTTTATTTCAGTGAACTCCATTAATAAGTCTTTGGTTGGCTGTTTAAACTTTAGTTTGATTAAAACTGAAAAATAATTGTCTCATTAGTCAAGTACTCAGAAATGAATGTCTAAATATAAGTATTACATGTATTTATTCCTCTGAAGGTGGTGAATGAGACTTACAAGAAAAACCTGCAGCAGCTGGAGAAGTTTGTGATGGTGAAGTTCCTAAATGACAGTGTGGTGGACCCTGTGGATACTGAGGTACAAATACGTATACTGTATTTTACGGGCTATTAGGCGCTCTAGTCATTAAATGGTCTATTTTGGAACTTTTTTTCACAAATAAACTGCACTGGACTTTAAACGAAACACAACAGTTGGATGGGTCAGTCAGACTTCACGGTGACTCTGGGCTTTGTTCAGTTGTGGCGTGTAGGGAGGGTGCTGTCTGGGACCGCTGGATTGTCGGTGTGTTTGTAGTAACTCAGTTGTTCAGTTGTGTCTAGAAGTGGCACATTGCACTCGCTTTTTCAGTTCGTTCCTTCGTGTGGAGTGATGACTGTGTCTGTGGGTGTGTTTCGCTGTGCGGTCGCTGTCTGCTCCGTGTGTGTTTGCGTGTTCTGCGGGTGGTGCGGCTTTGTAGATTACTGAAGTCGTGATGGGACACCCAAGTGGATTCGTGTATGGGGCGCTCTGGATTGCGGGGCGCGCGGTCGTTTTTTGACGCGGTTAGAGGCTTAAGAGCACGCCTAATAGCCCAGAAAATACGGTGTATATATATATATATATATATATATATGTATATATATATATATATATATATATATATATATATATATATATATATATATATATATATATACTTTAATGGAACCATATATAAAATATAACATTTTGATTGAAAATTCATTTAACATGACTAAACTGTGAGATACAAGGTAAACATGTTCAGATCAATTGTAACTTTCACTGAACAATTGTAATGCTCATTTAGTCTTACTAAACTCATTTATTCTAACTAAACACTTACTTCATACACCCCAGCACCTACAGCCAATCATGAGCCAGTGCTAGTGCAGCCTCTGTAGCTCAGGGAGGGAATTCTGGAGGTTCCGAGCTTCACATGAGTCCTGTCCACATACTGAGAATGATACAAACATGGATGTATCATTTATCTGCAGGTTAAGGCTCTGGAGACACAAGTTCAGTTGTGATTGGAGTCCTTTAAAAACAAAAAGAACTGTGTGTGCCAGATACATACAATTGTGATAAATTTGCATTGCTCTGTTTTTGTTGCAGTGGTTTGGGTTCCTGAAAATGGGTCAGGCCAAAGAGACAGAGACACTGCAGGAGAGCGTGATCTACAAAGAGGTCAGTCTATCATTGAAGAACTGCTTTTAATTAAACAGTTATTATTTACAACAAAACTCATACTGTTTTTCAGGATCGTTTGGGGCTCGCCGCCATGGACAAAGCCGGAAAGTTGGTGTTTCTGAAAACGAAAGGAGACCACCTCCAATTCACGAGGGAGTGGTTCATCGAAAACCTGCTGCCTTTCCTACGATCTTAGAAAGTGTCACGTTAAATTAACACATATCATTACGAATCATTACATCTGGACACAAATTACTAGTCAAAATACTGTAACAACATTGCTGGGTAAAAACACTGAACGTTGCACTTTTATTTTGGCTGAAGCAGGTTTAGGCATTATGCTGAACTGATTTGAACTGTAAACGTGCATATGACAGGTTAGACCACTTATTTCACCAAAACATAGTTAACATCATTATATTTGGTACTAAAAATCTTCCCTATTTTCATTAGGAGTTTAAATTTTGGTGAAGTGTATTTTTACTTCCTGGCTGGATAAGGGCACCGAACAGTCTTCCTTGTGCATTAACTCTCTCTGCATTTTGTATGAAGTTTTCTGCGTTGATCACATAGACGGAGGGATTCTGCTTTAGAACTCAGCCCTACTTCCTATATTTGTGTACTTCTCTCTCTCTTTTTTTCCACAAACTTCCACTTAACTGATATAAAACTATGATAAATATTGACCACAAATACTATCCACCAAACCAAATCAGAAAAACATGAAAACCTGTCATATGCACTTTAAAGATGCACTGTATAACTTCTGGAGAGTTTTGTTTCACAGTATGGCATTAAGCTTTCCTATCTCCATGGAAACCAGTAGGTTGTGCCACCAGGCCAAGTTACCGTTTAGATCTGTGGAGAGAGAGAGAAGACCCTGCTGCTCTTAGTAAGAATGCATGTTTGTCAAGGTATTTCTGTGCAGTAAAAACACCTAAATGATTAAATGCTTTGCCATGGAGAAGCAGACCACTCACCCTCCACCACAAAAGTTACATCTTTAATTTTCCTTTTTGGGGTCCAATGATGCTACAATCTTCTGCAATTACGACCACTAACACAGCAGCCATTTTGAATACATGCTTTTATTACAGTTGTTAGTTTTTATGTTCATGATATTTTGTTTTTAATTTTAGCTAATGAAGTGGAATTATGGATTGAATGGATGATTAAGAATGTGAGATAATCTGATGTTATGTATAGCTTTTATGCTTTAAAATGCTTTTGTTGAAATTTAATAAAATGTATAAACATATTGTCTATTCTTTGTCAGTTTACACATGTGGAAGAGTATTCAACATATTGCACTCAAGTAAAAGTACTATATTAGGGTTGTCAAAAGTATCAAAAATCAAATACTAATCAATATTAAAACTAATATCAAAACTAGATACTTATTTGAACATGTATCAATACTAAAAAAGTCAAATTCACAGGACAAAAATGTAGCCTTCCTGAAAAGTGATTTTTTTGCTGTATCAGAACAAGTATAAGTACATAGACTAGTATACATCCATGGACCAATCTGGAACCTACCTGCACCACTGAGGGTTTGTTGTCATTGTGGTATCGGAATCGGTATTGTGTATTGATTCTATTCCTTAATATCAAGATCAAGTCCAAAATTTTAGTATCTCAACACTACTTCTACTTAGTAGAAGAAAAACATTTTGGTCAAACCTCCTTGTGAAGGCCTGATCTTATCAGATCTCAAAAGATAAGCAGTAGTGGGCCTGGTTCCTCCCCTCACCTGCAGTCATGAGCTTTGGGTAATGACCAAAAGGACAAGATCATGGATACAAGCGGCCAAAATGAGTTTCCTCCACAGGGTGGCTGGGTGCTCCCTTGGAGATAGAGTGTGGAGCTCAATCACACGGGAGGAGCTCGAACTAGAGCCGCTGTTCCTCCATGTTGAGAGGAGCAGCTGATGTGGCTCGGAGTCAGACATCTGTTCTGGATGCCTCCTGAATGCTTCCCTCGGGAGGTTTTCCGGGCATGTTCCTTCGGGAGGAGGTCCTGGAACACGTTGAAGGAACCATGTCTCTCAGCTGGCTTGGAAACACCTCGGGTCCCCCGGAAGGACCTGGAAGAAGTGTCTAGGCCAGGTGAAGGAAGTCTGGGGGTCCCTGCTTAGACTGCGGCCCTGGATAAGAGGAAGAAAATGGATGGATGGGCCTGGTTACCACTTGGATGGAAGACCTCTGGGAATTCCAGGTGCCATTTTTTTTATACAGAGACTTCAGTTTAGTCTCCACTCTCTCTGTTGCACCTCGAGCCAGAAGCAAGCATGATCGTCCAATCAGGTTAAGTCTTTTTCAGTGACACGTGTGAAATGACAGAGCTCAATGGTTATGTCATTTATAAACAAAATCACATTTCTCTCACCTCAGATGAGAAGTGTTTTGCTTTGCTCACTAATTCTGCAGAAATCCACCAGTTTTTAAGCCCCTTGTGATAGTTTTTTTCCTGTTTTTTCCTCATAAACAGCCGCACTTGTTTTAATACAGACAGACCATGCATGTCCCACCCATCTGAACTCATTTCTCTTTCCTTGTTTCATTCTCCTTGATTCCTCTCCTTGATATTCCATTTTTCAATTTCATTTTTTTTTTTCACAAATTGAAAAATACAGTCTTGCAGGATTTTTGTTAGTAATATCCTCATACCCGTACCATAAGTATACACATATTCAAAATTTTTTTTCAACTTTTCTACTGTTAATCAAATGTGTCATATTAAGTGAACCAAGGAAACGGAGTAAACCCGAGGGAGGCTTCAGGAGCAGACATCAGAAAAAAAGAATCAAACTTTATTGGTCTCAGTGAGGAGTTTATATCCTCTCTTTTCGCTGTACCTCCTCTGTGGGCAGGGCTTCCTCAACCATTTCCCACAGAATCAAGGAAAGAAAGGAGAAGGAAGTGAGTAAAGAGAAATGAGACCTAGTAACGTGAGGAAAGGGAAATGAGAAAGAGAAATGAGATCCGGCCAAGGATAGTCTTTAAAGTTTGCCTTGGTCTGAATTTCATAAAATTTAAAACAATACTTTTGATGGTACTTAATTTTTACAAAATTAAGGGAACTCCAGAATTAAAATGTGTTGGTTGCGTATTAATGAATGACTAAACAAGTTCATTTATTGCATCTTTTTATTGATGTTTTCAAATGAGCGTTTGGACCCAAAAATCAGAAAACAAAACAAGACACAAGAACCCAGAGAACTTAAGAGACATTTACAGATTTATGCATTTCTGAGCCATTTGAGGTGAAATTTTAAACTAGTTCAACACCGGTGATTTTCACAACAGACTCTACACATGGTCAATTCCCACATCTTACCACTTCCAACCATTATTCTTTACACTTTAGCTCAAATATTCGTTCACACTTTTCTTTACATGGAATGATTTTACAGTTAGGAATGTCCAGTTGTGGAATTTTTAAGGAAATTTGTGAAGGAAAAAAAACTCCTAAATTTTAAAAAGGAGATTTGGAGTGATCCATGGACACAATTCCTATGTTATTTCCATTCAGCACTACGGAATACATTGTTAAATAGTGACGATGTGTATTTAAGTTCATTACAAGTGCTTAATAGCCAGTGGATATTTGCATAAAAATGACAGAAAACGTTAAGAATTTGACCCGAAAATGGCGCAATGGACAAAGCAGAACAGATCCAGGTATTTTTGATGTAGAGCTGAGTTCCTAATAGAACATTACATCAAAAATACCATTATTTTAAAAGCAATGAAATCACTATCCATAACCATTATTATAAACCTGTTCTGTTATTAGCTAAACTACAGCATGTAAAAACTAGTTTAAGCTATTGGCAATTTTTACGCTACAAAAAACTATTTCAACAAGTTCACATGACTTGAGTTCAGATTCATTACGAGTTTGAGTAGTTTTGACTAGTTTGGATTTTTTGAGTAATTTCATTGCATTTTTACTAGTTGAGAAAAGTCAAATAATCGAGGTTTAGAGATGCATCGTCTTCCAGAAAGCTTTACACAGTGCAGCTTTAGTACAAGACTCATTGGCCTTTCTGTTTACAAAGCTGTTCACATCAACATAGACTGTGTTAAGTTGTGTTAAGTACTTGCAGAATATTTTGACTTTCTGTCATACATAAAATGTAAACTAGTCAGAAGCACGCAAATTACGAATATCTGAAATTTAAGATGTTTTAAATTATGTAGAAATTATTTTTTGTAGTTTAATTAATATTAGCAAAGTGCTCACTGGCCTTATGTTTGTTTAAAGAATGAGCTGCTCCCTCGTGATTGGCTGGAAGGCTGCCCCGAACACAGAGCGGCCTTCTCGTTGGCTATCGGAGCTGAAGCTGTGATTTGATTGGCTGAGAATGAGGAGGTGTTTGAGGTGCCAGTCTTGCAGTGAGCTGGTGCTGGGGTCAGTCAGGAGGAATGAGGCTTTTTTTTTTTTTGAAATTTAAAAATTGTGAAAATGGATTTTGAGGAGGTGAGGAACTTTATCCGGCGATTTCTGTTGCCGTGGTGACCAACTTGTGTCCGTCCCAAACTGTCTTGAACTGTTCTGGCACTGGCATCTCGGTCTGTAAAAGAGAAAAACAGAAATTAGGCTTAAGGGCTTTTTTTTTTTCATGCAAAATATGTCAGGTTTAGCACCTTTAAAATGATTATATTACTCATGAATCATAAATCAGGACTTCTAAACCAGGACTACAAAAGATCTAACTGAGAACTTGATCAATAAAACCCAGGGACTAAATCATGTCCTCCAGCAAGGTTAAAATGGACTAACAGAACTAATCCAGAACTGAATCCAGTACTAGAAAGTATCTTGTAAGAGTAGAGTCTTAATTAGGATGGAGGGTGAGGATGCAGAGGAACAGAGGAGGTGGTCAGATGGAGCAGAGGAGAATCTCACATGGAGTAGAGGAGAAGAGGAGAAGAGGAGAGGGTGAGATGGAGCAAAGGAGCAGAGGAGAGGGTCAGATGGAGCAGAGGAGGGTGTCAGATGGAATGGAGGAGCAAAGGAGAGGGTCAGATGGAGCAAAGGAGCAGACGAGGGAGTCAGATGGAGTAGAGAAGATGAGATTGAACAGAGGACCAGAGGAGAGGGTCAGATGGAACGGAGGAGCAAAGGAGAGGGTGAGATGGAGCAAAGGAGCAGAGGAGAGGGTGAGATGGAGCAGAGAAGCAGAGGAGAGGGTGAGATGGAGCAGAGGAGCAGAGGAGAGAATGAGATGGTACAGAGGAGCAGAGGGCGAGATGGAGGAGAGGGTCAGACTGATCAGAGGAGAGGGTCAGACTGATCAGAGGAGAGGGTCAGACGGAGCAGATGAGCAGAGGAGAGGGTCAAACGGAACAGACGAGAGGATCAGATGGAGCAGAGGAGAGTGTTCGACGGAACAGACGAGCAGACGGAGCAGAGGAGAGAGTCAGATGGAGCAGACAAGAGGGTCACAAGGAGCAGAGGATTCACTCACAAACTCTCCGTCTTTGTTGGGGACCAGGATGTTCATCTCGGAGCTCTTGGCGCTGACGATCTCACAGCTCAGAGAGTCTTTGCTCAGGTAAACATGGCAACCGTCCGTCTTGTTGATGGAGATGGTCGGGACTTTACCCATCACCTGAAAATTTAATAACCAAACAAATTTAGGACAGCATCTCAATTCTGTCAACTAGCCTCCTCGACTCGTCCGCTGTCACAAATGGTGGCAAGAATTTGTTGAGGACATAATTTCAGATAACTATGGGAGATTCACAGTTTTTGAAAGAAATCTCCAAACTTCTGATCCACAAATCTTGCACCTTCTCATTATTTGTTTGGGATTGTCTCCACAAAGTTGCCATATTAATCTTTAGTCTTAAAGTCCTTTCAGCTGACAACACTCACATCTTTGGAGTTGAATAACAGCACCACTTTCTGAAGATATTTTAAAAAAAATTATTGAAGTGTTGTTCATTTATACTGACAGAGAAAACGTTGAACTTTGACAGAGATATGAACCATAAACCAGGTCAACAAATCTGCATCAATTACAGAATTCTGACCTGTCCTTCAGCTCAGATTAAACTAGAATGATTTCTCTCACCTGAATTTTGAGGTCTCTGCAGTTGATCACCTCCACGATTCCCACCACATCGTCAAACACCAAACCCATTTTTTTACAATTATCTGAAAACACAAGGGGATTGTTTAGTTTAGATATAGTTATAATTAAGCTCAAGTCCAGGTCCAAACATAACACTATGTGATGGCATACCGAGGGTGATGGAGTTGAGCTTTCCCTTGACTTGCAGTGTGCTCTTGTTGCATTTAAAAGCATAAACCACCTGCTTGAGCTCTGTGTCGCTGATCACCAGGTTCTGAGCGTTCTCCTGGTTCTCCTACAAAAACAAAACGAGGAAAAATATTAGAGTTCAATAGTTTGATGCAGCCAAACTTGAATTTCCCTCGGGATCAATGAAGTATCTCCATCGAGCTCTCTCTAGACTGTGTGATGTGTTTATCCTGCACTAATTATGAATGGGAAGGGGCACATAAGAAGCAGCAAATACTGTTTCATTTTTTTAAGCTTCAGACAGTCAATTTGTGCTTTGAACATTAGCTCAGTGTGAGTAACATTAGCTCAGTACATTCGCAGATCCACCCTGCAGCACTCACCACTTTCCACTTCTTCCCTTCGAGCTCCAGGACTGGGGGCAGAGTCTGAGCCTGAGCTGGAGCTGCTGCTTTAGGGCCCGAGGAGAAGGGTTTAGGCCCCGAGCGGACAGGACCTCCACCTGTCCTCAGGTTTGGGTTCTTGTGGGTCTTCTGGTCATCAGACACGTGCTTCAGGCCTAAAGAGGGAGACATAAGTCAATGATCCATCAGTCGTTTGAGCCTCAGTCAGGTTGACCTTGTTCTCCTCTGTGCCCACCTTTAGTGATGTCTGCCCCTTTGTTGATGGAGGCGAACAGTGCGTTGCGGTTGTCTCCTCCAGAGTCTCCTCCTCCGCTCAGGTCCATAGCAGGGGGAGGGGGGCCAGGTGGAGGGGGAGGAGGGCAGCCCCCGGAGGGAGGAGGAGGAGGAGCTGCAGCAGCAGAGGCAGAGGCCACAGGACCCTGAGAGAGAAAGAGAGAGAGGAGGGGGAGCAGAGAAGAGAGAAGAGAGAGGGAGGTGTTCAGCTGTGTCATAATGGTTTAACTAATCACATCAAAGTCTAAATGAATCATTTTAAACTCACGGTCTTGCTCCAGGCAACACCGGTCGTGTGGTTCTTTTTGATGTAATTCTGCATCTCTGTCCAAATGGAGAGGTAGGCCTTCACCCACTCTGTGTGTGTCTTATCCCTGAGACAAAGAGGAAGAGGAAAAAGGATTGTAATTCTGGTTCATTTTGTTTTACTTTAGCAACACTGTGATTAAAAGCAGTAAATACAGCCACAGTTTACTAAAGCTGACTCAGCAGCTCAGCCCGAGGAGCTAAACAGGAAACAGATGTGGCCTGTAAATATGGTAAAGTGTAAACTTCAAACCTCTTGCCTGATCTTAGACAGTAACATGAGGTCTACTCTGAACTTTTAGTAGCAGAAACAAAAGGTGATTTTAAAATGTTCTATGATTTAAGTGTCCTGTTTAATCCAAATCACATTTACGTACTTCTCCTTGTAGTCTTTGAGCACACGGTTGGTGTAGAACATGGCAGCATCGTTCATCTCCTTCACATAGGGGCCTGGTTTTGGAGCCTGAAAGAATAAAGAAACTGATTCATTAAACACATTTGAACAGCGCCAAAGTGAGCAATATTTTTGTGTGTGTTTTTGGTGTTTAATTTTTTCCCCCAAACTAAAATGAACAGAAAGCCCAAAAACTCCAGTTGAATCAGTTCTGATAGATTTCATCCAGAACACTGAAAGATGGGTCAAATGCACTGGCAACATGAAACATCACAATGTTTTTTGTACTGAAAATGCTATATTCTTGTACAAAGTTTGAAAAGACCCCAGGAGAGATGGACGACATCTAAAACCTCTTCAGACATGTTTTGAGGGAACAATGTTATAACATGGTAAGAAGCTACAAAAAGTCTATTTTAGAACGGCCCCTCTTAAATAAAAAAATAAAAAAAGTTAGCGGGTACATTATAAAGTAAAGAGTATCTAGGATCTTTGTCTTTTAGCATGTTTTAGATTGAAAAACAAAACTAAAAAGACTTGATAATTCATAAACTATTATTATTGGAACAAACATTAAAATGAAATCATGTTATGCAAATTTGATTCAGTTTGTGCATTCAGGAGGGAAAACACAATAACCACCTTTTGAGACTAAACAACTTTTGAACTAGCTTAAAATATGCAATATCCAGCTGAAAACCACCTTCGTCATCACATAATACTGAAGTGTTTATAATAGAGTTAAACAGAGCCTCTCTTGTTCAGTGTCGGGAGCTGTCAGTGACTCAAAAGAGCAGCGCATTTCTGTAGTCATTCATAAAGAGGTTTTTCACACAGAGAAAGAAAGAGGGAGGAGAGAGAGGAGAGGAAGATGGGTGGATGAAGAGGGAGAGAAGTGAAGAAAAGACTGAGAGAAAGGAGTGGGAGAGAAGAAGTGGGATTCCACAAGAAGAAGCAACCCGGCTGATTCTCAAGGCTCTGTGACTCAAGTTAGAGAATTTTGAAAAAGAAGTGGTGAGAAAAAGCAGGTAATTTTTTTCTTAAAAAAGGAACTCTATGTACAATTTTTATTTTAAATTCCATAAACATAACTTCACTGTGACAGGAGGTAAACATGTTCAAATCAAATATAATTTTTACTGATAACAACTGTAATCCTCATTTATTCTTAATTACAAAAACATTGGACATGATGGACAAAATGATTATGTTATAATTTAGTGTTCTGGTTCTCAAAACAATTATCCAATCACCAGAATGAGCCTCACATGAGTCTCATTTGAGTTGTAAGTTTCAAAGCAGAAATCCTCTAGGTTTAAGCCTGAAGGATTCTCTCTGATCTGAATCGGCCTACCTAAACCCAGCACAACGGGACTTGTCACACTCTCCTTTTCACTACATTATTTTGATCCATTCAAGAAGGAAAGAGTGCCTTACCACAGTGATCCACCCGAGGGCGCCCACGCTCTCGCTGACCGCAGACAGGTGGTTGAAGAGCGCAGACGTCCGATTCGATTCACGGAAGTTTTGGACCTGACTCACCACTTTGGACACAGGCTGCAGGAGGGTGCCCATGGCCGACTGAAGACACAACAGAGAAAAACTCAGCCTAAATCTGCAGGGTTTGTGTGTTAAACATGTGTGAATGAAACTAAACACAACTCCAGGTCTGTTTGTGATGAGGAAACATTAGAACACAGATCAGAAAATGGTGTAATATGGGCTCTTTAATGTATCCCACCCACTGCTATTGGTCAATCTCGGTCTGGTTAAATCTACTTGTCACTGGCTCAGAGTCAATCACAGAGAGAAATGCAAATCTTTTAATTGTACTTTATCAATAGATAAATAGAAAGTGAACACCGTGACAAAAAGGAAAAATCTTGATATTGTTTTAATATATTTTTTTTAGTTTAGTAGTAGTAGTATTAGTAGCAGTGGTAATAGTAATAGTAATAGCAGTAGCAGTGTTGGCAGTACTTACGTCTGAGGGTTTCTGATGTGAGGAGGCGAGCACAAGGATCTGTCTGACAGCAGCAAAGCCCTGCTTCATCATGTCCGCCTGCACACAAAACAAGAATATCATAATACAGCCTGAACTAATGCAAACCCAAACCAACTGCATGAAACAGCACTGCCAATATGATTTATTTACTATCAAACACTAAGTGTAACTTTCACGTACATGTTTCTGGACGTCTCCTCCGATCTTCTGACTGAGAGACAGATACTGAGCCACAGCTCCGCTCACGATGTCGTCATACTCCTCCACAAACTTGGCCACAGCTGAAGAGGGAAAAGACAATTCTGTGTTACAAAGTGGTTTTGTGTGGATTCTTATTTATAACAAGTTATAAACTGTTGATATTTTGCCATCAACAATCAGCAGCTCTGTATGAAGTTCTGTTACTCCAGTTAGACTTTCATTTTTTTATTTGTTCAAGTTTTGTTTTTAACACAATCTAACCAGAAAGAACTGACTTAATAAAAACTACAACAGGTGATCTGATTTTGTGTTGTTAAACAAATTCCTCTCCCATACATGACAGTCACAGGCTAGTTAGCATTAGCCAAGAGTTTCAGTGAATCACTCTCATCTTTTTTTGAAAATCAAATTCCTAAACAGGACCATGAGCGCTCAGACTGATCACAGGCTCATGAACATGTGTTGTTCCAGTTTGTATTTTTTTTCTTGAGTTTTCATTTCAGACCATCTTAAAACTTTGTTTTCAGTGTTTGCTAGACATCCATGTAGAACCCCCCAGAGTGATGTCACTGCAAAGTACCAATTTCAGCACATGTCCTCATCCAGTTGTGTATTTGGTGTGGACGTCTGCTATAGTTATGATCTATGGTCACCCTGGATCATTATGTTAGAATTTTGGACATTTTAAAATCGCAATATTCATCTAAACGACTTAATAAAAGAAACGAGTTGATCTCCGAAATAGAAAACTACAGGAAAACTTTCATACTGATTAATTGCTCAGGTTGTTAGTAAACAGAACAGAATAGTAACGACCACGGTCTCCTTTGGCAAACACAGACAATTAAACCTAGATTTTTGTGTGTAAATAAATGTAATACTCACGTCCTCCAGAAGGAGAAGCAGCCCCTCCTCCTCCTCCTCCAGACAGAGACATGCCCTCCAGCCTCCCCACTGCTACCTCCAAACGAGCCACCAAACCCGCCAACTCGGCCATAACTGAAAACACAGCATCATACAGGTTTAATATAAGGACAAGAGGTAGAGGGTCAGAGGACGGTCAGAAGAGCAGAGGATGCAGAGGAGAGGGTCAGAGGACGCAGAGGAGAGGAAAATGGTCTTCCAAGCATGTTGCTGTTAACATGTACCATGATTACACAGGGGACTCTGCTTGTAATTAGCGAACGCAACAATTAAAATGGCCTGGTTCAGTGCACAAACAAAACTATAGTCTCACAGTGTACAACCAGTACTGAGAAGGAGAAAAACAAACCCTATTTTATTTTCTATGTTTTATATTCATTCTGTAATCATTTTCTTACTAAAACAAACAAAACCCATTTTAACAAGAGATTCATGAAAATAAACTTTTGTAAAACCTCTGCTGGATACAAACGGCTTGTCTCAGTGTTGTAGATAATAATAATAATATTGTTTTGCCTAAATTGTTTCACAGTATGACATTTAACTATATACTTTATCTCCATGGAGTCAAGCAAGCAAAGTTACATGTCAGGTCTGGGGAGAGACGAGCTCTACAAACAGCACTGAAGGTATTTTCTCTACAATAAAAAAAAAAACCACTGTAATTAAATACATGAACGATAGTCATGTTGTATGCCATACTGTGGAACATTCCAGGCAAAGCAATAACATCTCCATGGAGACAAGGACATGGAAGGCCCCACACTGAAAAGTTATATCTTTAGGAAATCCTTAGTCATGTGTAGCAGCAGTAAAACCCCACAGGGCTCCTTTAAGAGTTGTGTAAAAAACTGAAAAATGCGGCGTCAGGTCTGAACTTGTAGTAAAAGTATGTGGACACAAACTGCTATGTAATGTTAAAGAAGTATTTAAGTAGTAATATTACGAAACAATTACATTAAAACCGCAACAGTACAAAACTTGAAATCACCAAAATGCAGCTTCAGTTTGGGCGGGTCTGAACACATTTGGGAGGATTGCCATTAGGTTTGTAAGTTATAGTTTAAAAATCAAGATTCTTTTCACAGTATACATTAAGCACTGACATTTGAGAGAAAAATGAAATCTAAAACTTTAAACTAATACAAGAATCCGATGTATTTCAGAACATGCTTGTAGGTCTAAACTACAGGGTTATCAGCTTTTACACAGAATAAGACCACATGGAGTCACAAGGACATTTAGTTCTTAAAGAGAATATGTTATATTACTGCATGTCTCCTGGAGTTGTCAAAAGCATTGAAAATCAGATACTATTCGATACTAAAACTAGTATCGAAAATAGATACTCATTTGAGCAGGTATTAATACTAAAAAAAGTCCCATTCAATTCAATTTCAAGCTGGGGAGGCACCGATATGAATACTGGGGTTGAGTATCAGTATCCAGGCTGGTGTCACCTAGTGCCTCTTCTGAATTTAATTTCTCTCCAGTGACTACATCAGGAATCAAAATACACTAGACAATTTGCAAGAACCACAGAAGTTGTAGACCATGCATTGGCCAATCAGCGAAAAAGCTGTGAGGGTCCATTTTTATGGTACAGCACAACAATAAACAAGGCGGTATAGATGGATGTAGACAATTCCCGAGATTGAGGATTTAAAGCTGAAATGAAGAGAATGCTTGGTGAATTTTGTCAAGGGGAAAGACGTTATTGCCCTTCGTCCTACAGGATTTGGGAAAAGCTTAATATATCAGTTAACCCCGTTAGTGGTGCATTACATACATCACGACCAAATAGCAGCGATTGGTTAAATGAAAAAAAAAGTACCCGTCTGCTGTCAAGCAAACGAATCCTAATGCTGCGAGGTCAGATGGTTTCTATGAAGTGAAACCGGCTGATGAATCAGGCTAGAGTATCAGTACCCCTCCAGGAAAATTTGCAGTATTTGTGTTCAAAGATATCGATTCAGTCGATATCCTGTTTGGACTTTTTACTGACTGATGTAGTCCAGGACATATCATGATGTTTAAACTGTCATTCATTCAAAGCTGTTGAATAGTTATTGTAGGATACATAAACACAATCAGATCCAATTTGTAATAAGATTTTTGTATTTTGATCCCTACACTGGTATTGGTTAATATCGGATATCAGCATCAATATCGGTATCTTAACTGCAAAACCTGAAATCAGTGCGTCCTTATTTCAAGCTAAATATTTAAAAGAATGAAAACTTTGCACATCATTTACTTGAAATGGGCATGTTGGAGGAGAGGGAGGAGCAGCCCAAACACAGAGAAAAAGTCCGTTTGCCTGATGAACGTCTAGTGCCGAAATGTTGCACGTTGTTGTTTGTCCTAATAAATCTCACATTTTGCAAGTAAGATGGTGTGCGGGATCTTTCTCTAAGCAAAATATTTTAAAAATTAGCTAATTTCTATTGTATTGTCAACCTTTATTTTCCCCACAATGAGGAAATTCCAAATGAGAAAATTGTAAACACTGAGTGGTAAAAATAAACCCACACATGAAGCCTATTACAATGAATTCTTAACACTTCTCATTACATTTGTCCAAGTTTGAACTTGTTCTTGAGACACAACTTTGTGAATTTGTTCTGCTTAAGTCCAGGACCAAACCCTTTTAACCAAATGTCCATTAGAAGTTCATCCTTCTCGGCTGAGGATCCTCAGAGCTCCATGCAAAACACAGCAGCGTGTTTTTGCATAAAGCTGATGGAGACTTAAAAACAAGACACTTCTCAAATTACCACTTCTACTACTACTTTTCACATAAGTGACTTTAAAGATGCTCTAACTCCCCCCACCACCTTGTCTCCATGGAGATGGTATGGCTTTGTCTGGAGTGTTCCGCAATATGACATTTATGAATTTTGCTTGAAAAACACATATTGCAGCTAAGTGTCATAAATTTTCGGTGGGGTCATGCCAACTAGAGGCTAGGGTAGTTATTCAAGTTACTCTTTAATCTGAACACAATCTGACCAGAAAGAACTGGAGCTACAGGGGGTGGGACGAGATACAATTTCCACAAAACAAGACACAAGATTGGATTACGAAAACAAGAGACAAGATGAGATTTTGACATTCTTTAAGGATATAATAAATATGTTGTGCATTTCAGTTCCCAATTTTAGCCTCACCATTTTTGATTTACTTGATTTAATATTTCTGCTCTTATTGTACCTCTGCTTTTTAGGACTACGCATTCCCAAAAAACGTAGCTCACCAGTACTCTATTTTTTTCAATCCAAATGTAAAAACATGAGGAAAAAATCTCACAAGATCTTTTTTACCAAGTGTGCACAATCTTGTGGCAATTTTGTCTTGCGAAATCTTGTGGCACAAGATCTTAGAACTACTACAGATTTTTTACTCAGTTTTTTGTCAGTCACTCTCACCTCTTTGTTGAAAACTCCTAAACAGGAAAATGAACACTCGGACTGATCACAGGCTCCTGAAAATGTGCAGTTTAAATCTATTTGGTATTTTTTGTCTGATAATCTTAAATCTTTTTGACATTGTTTACTAAAGCGGGAATTGTGCATGATTAGAGACACATGAAGAACAGCCCCAGCGTGATGTCACTGCAGAGTATCAGTTATATCTGTGTAATCCCTCACTGGTCCAGGTAGGATTCATAGTGGGAGTATACTAGCCTATGTGCTCTTATACTTGTTCTGATACAGCTCAACATCATTTTAAAGATTCATTTGTGTCTTGTGAATGGGACTTATTTAGTACTGATACCTGCTCAAATGAGTACTTAGTTTCGATACTTGTTTTAGAATCAATTAGCATCTGATTTTTGATACTTTTGACAACCCTACATGTAGATAACTTTAAAGCCATTCTAAGTAATAACATCTCCAGACCCTTCACTGGAAAAATTACACAGTGTACCTATAAATACTTTTAATAAGATTTTGGCCAATCCAGGTTTTGCGTTTTACAAGGTAAAAGTGACACTTGTGCACCTAGGTCACGATCTAATTTAAATATTTGACAGTTTAAATGCAAATATGTTTTACATTTGAGATGCTTTGCCTACTCACCCAAACACACACCCATTTGGTTTCGACGATCGAGAGAAGATTTCGAATGAGTTCTTGTGACTTTAACAGATATGTAAGATCAGATGGACTAGTATACACCCCTAGACTACGGTGGAACCTACCTGGACCACTGAAGCATTACACACATATAAAACCACATGGGAATAGAATAAAAAGTACTATGATTTAATGTTAAAAATCACATTCTATTGTCTAAAGAAATTATTATCATTGTGGAGTAAACTCATTCTGAGATTCTCAACACGTTTTCCAAATTTTTTGTTTACTTTTCATTTAATTAATATTAGCTGCCAGTGTATCCATCATGTATTGTGATGGCAGAGGCGGTTACAGAAATAAAATATCACAACCAGTATAAGCAGGAGTAGTAGTAGTAGTTTTAGTAGCAGTGTGTAGTAGCAGTTTGTAGTTGCGTGTAATAACAGTAGCAGTAGTAGTAGCATGTAGTAGTAGAAGCAGTTTTAGAAGCAGTTTTAAAAGCAGTAGTAGTAGTAGTAGAAGAAGCAGTTTTAGTAGCAGTAGTTTTTGTAGCAGCAGTAGTAGTAGTATTAGTAGTAGTAGCAGTTTTAATAGCAGCACTAGTAGTTTTAGTAGCAGTAGTAACAGCAGCAGCAGCAGTAGTAGCAGCAGTAGCAGCAGCAGTAGTAGTAGCAGTAGTAAGCAGTAGCAGCAGCAGCAGCAGTAGTAGTAGCAGTAGCAGCAGCAGCAGTAGTAGCAGTAGTAGCAGCAGTAGTAGTAGTAGTAGTAGCAGCAGCAGTAGTAGCAGCAGCAGTAGTAGCAGCAGCAGCAGTAGTAGTAGTAGCAGCAGCAGTAGTAGCAGCAGCAGTAGTAGCAGCAGCAGTAGTAGCAGCAGCAGTAGTAGCAGCAGCAGTAGTAGCAGCAGTAGCAGTAGCAGCAGCAGTAGTAGCAGCAGCAGCAGTAGTAGTAGCAGCAGTAGTAGTAGCAGCAGCAGTAGTAGCAGCAGCAGTAGTA